GGGGGGGGGGGGGGGGGGGGGGGGGGGGGGGGGGGGAGGGGGGCTGCAGCCCCCCCCCCAAATTTTGGGCAACTCAGATTTTTTGGGTAGCAAGAGAAAATTTGGGCAAAGACTGTTTTTAAAGACGTCTCTATGTTTATTTAGTTATTTTGAAGACCTGAATATTAACCTGAAGTCGGCGTAATAATCCAGTTACATTCACACGAGACAGTAATCGCCTAACATGTGATGAGTAATTTACATATTTATTTTTTTGTTATTGTTGGGCATCGTACTGCACTGCACTAGCTGGAATGGGCTGTCCATTCGTGAATTGATTAGAATAAACTTTCGCATGACTTTCTAGAATCATCTCCACTCGAAGAACAGGGTGGGTCTGAAAACGAAGGAGTGGCTGACTAATTCTCAGTTTGAATTACGAGAAGAATCTTAATTCTTTTAAAAAATCTATCGAGTGGTTTAAAATTATCCGCTAATTTGTTAAAGTAAACCGAAATGTATACAAAACCGCTAACAAGAGCGCCGCGATACATACTAATCAAATCGTTCTTTCTAGCAATCGGGCAGAGCTATCTCCACGATCTTTCACACACGTTTTTAAAACTACTATGAGGTGAAATTGCATGTCAAAAGCGCTTTGTTTCTACAGATAACGGCCAAACCTCACGATTTTCCTTTTCTTACCGTATTTCTAACGGTGAAAACTTCATCCCAAACTATCTCGATAAAGCTCTTAAGGATTTTGCTTAAACTTTGCAAACATCGAGAAGACCGTATTGGCGAAAAAAGCTCCTGTGAACGATTTTTTAAGGTTGCCAGTGCCGAGAATTTTTAATTTTGCTGAAGTAAAATAGGTAGTGGCGTGATTTCGATGCTATGACAACTCTGATGTCATTGCAACCCTGATCAAGACAAATTTTCATTTACTGTGGTGGCAATTTTCCTAATGTTTGTTTATGGCGACGTAGTTTATGCTCAAACCTAGTATTGACCCAGAAAAACTGTATCGAGCCACCTTCATACGCCAGTACGGCCTATGTTGTTGCAATAGGGTCCTCGTTTCTTTTCGACTCTTTTGTAAAAATTTGGGGCACTTGCGATAATTTTTTGGGCAAATGGTCCACCGCCCCCCCTGGCAAAAAATTTCCCGTACAAGTATAGTTTTTTTAGTCTCCACCGTTCCCTAGTTAGAACTGCTTTCTTTTCAAATTGTTCTCCAAAAATTCCAACTAAAAAAACTTTCTACACAGACTATTCTCACGGGGGGTCCATAATTCTTCATACTCAGCCTCATTCATTAATTACTGAATATTTAGAAATTTTAAACTATTAAAATTCTCTTTTAAAAGGTAGATGCGTCAAGGCGACTTTTCGTAAAATGCTCCCAGTGTAGTTCCATAGTCGTAAGTGGTAATCAACCACTGCACTTTTCGTTTACAACTACTCAATATTCGAGTCATTTCTTTGGTCGCTTGCGCGGGAAGGTTTGACTCTTATTGAAACAGAAAATAAAAGCATTTCCGGGGGCGTTCATTGTAGTATTATGAATAGCTCAGATCAGGGGCACCCAACGTCAATTTTCGGAAAACATCTGTTCGGAAGACGATTTGAGGTCTTGAATTTTCGGAACATTTGTTTTAAAATTTCTTGCTTGCCCGCCTCTCCTAGGATTTTCGAACATCTAAAAATGGTATAATTGCCCATTTTTAACGGAATTTTACCCTAAAAAAAGTCACCTAGAATTTTCGAGAGCCTTTTTTCTGGCTGAAATTTTCGAAAAGGTAAGTTTTGATCCCTATAATTTTCGGATCACTAGACTTTCAGCTAGGAAATCCGAACAGGTGAAAAATTTTTAGGGGATAAAAATCTGTCTATATTTACCGTTAAATACTAAAGTACGTTCAACAATACTATGTTTAAGTGGTTTTGAACTATATTCTCGTTGGGTGCCCCTGATAGCTTATAATAATATGTTCCGAGAAACATCCAATATCGTCCGTTTGGCGAATAAACCTTTTTAATTGAAATTCCACCAACACGAACGTCATGACTTCAGGGCAAAATTTATTATCTTGTTTTAATCTTAAAAATATTTAGATTAATGTTTATTTGCCCGTGTAGAACACAAGTTAGTTTTTGGCCCATAGTTATAGCGCAGAGATCATACACGAAAAAAAAGAGGACGCGTGAAGAATACATTGATAAAATTGCTACAGAGAGTATCGTATTGTTCGTGGGTTTGTTACATGCATGGTGTCTCCTAGTAATGAATTGTTTCTCTGTGAAACATTAACCTGGAATTATGTCCTCTGAAATAAATAAATTGAACGCGATTAGTTTTTTTGCTCATATACTCGAAAGTGTCGCCAGGTGAAAAAAAAGACCGTAAAGACTACCAAAAACCTGATTGGAGTTAAAAGGAAAAAAATACTTCACAGTGTGGGGTTAATTGATAAGGGTATATTAAAACCGAAATGCTAAAAAAAAACTTGAGCCTGTCTTTGTTAATTTTTGCACCTCTATTATAAAATTGTCTCTTTTGCTCCAAGGCAACTGCAGTAATTGGAAACGTTCCCATATAAGCAGTCAAGGCTTTTCTTATGGAAATTGACCTAAATAAAGGTGCCAAAGAAAAAAGGCGCGTTTTTGCATATCACATGCAAAATTAATATGATTCATGAGATCATAGTCCATAGGATAACTCTAGTAGCAAGATGATTCTTAGCCAAATCATCTGAAAGCGATATCAGTCAAGACCTTCATTGCTTATTGNTAAATAAAGGTGCCAAAGAAAAAAGGCGCGTTTTTGCATATCACATGCAAAATTAATATGATTCATGAGATCATAGTCCATAGGATAACTCTAGTAGCAAGATGATTCTTAGCCAAATCATCTGAAAGCGATATCAGTCAAGACCTTCATTGCTTATTGACTTGGCGTTTCCCAACAAATGGAACCTGGAACGGTGGATACTGTTCTTCTGCCTTTCTATGTTATTATTTTCATATTAGGAGTTATTGGAAATTCCTTATTGATTACAGTAGTCAGAAAACGGCGTTGCATGCACACGACTGTTAATCTGCTTTTGACTAACGTGGCCGTGTCGGATGTGATTTCTTTGCTTTTCTGTTTACCGGGCATCGTTCTCCGCTTCTTTGAACATCCAAGAGGAAGCCTAGGAAACTTTTTATGCAAGTTTGTTAGCATGCATCTCGTTGCCGGTGTAACTTTGTTGGTCTCTGGCCTGACCTTTACTCTCATTGCTTTTGAAAGGCATAATGCTCTCCTAAGACCTATGGATTTGCGCTTGAAATTGACAAAACGACGAGTTCCTATTGCGATTTGCTTTATCTGGGGAGTTTCAATCGTACTTGTCATGCCGTTATTTGTCAAGCAGGAGTATGCGGAAAACGTTCAAGATTGTTTTATAGCTTGGCCGAGTGGCAACGCTTCAAGAGTGTATTGGTGTTTTTTAGCATCAATAGTCAGTATTTCGCTGTGTATCATGTGCATCTGTTATTTAAAGATTGTAAGAGCTCTTTATTTGGAGAAAGTTCTTCCACCGAACGATCATAGCAGAGAACAAGACATCAAAGATAAACAAAAAATCACTAAGCTTTTAATAACTATCTCTGTTTTGTTTTTGATATGCTTTTTGCCTTTTATTACCGTCTCAGCCATCCAAATCTCAACCCAGAAGGTGTTTTATAAGTTGTCGTATTTACTTGTCTACGCCAGCTGCTCGGTGAACCCAGTTGTGTATGGATTTCAAAGTGCAAATTACAGATCTGGCTTAAAAGATCTCTGGAAAGGAATATCGTTTCAGGAGCGAGAAAGATCTCTTGAGTCTTGACTATATGACAGTTGCAAATTTTATAATTGCTTCCCGCTCTTGAATAATAATCGTTTTAACCCTTGGCACTATCAACGGCGACGAATAAATTGGGTTAAACTTTCGCCTTGAACACACCAATATCGTCCAAGGGCCAAATTAAAAATTTTAGCTCGCGCGCGGAGCTGTATATAGAAACGCTGGTAGTAATTCTTATTGGAATTGGGTACACGTGATTGCGTTGTAAAATATTCAAATTACGTACTGAAGGCTTGAAATTAGAGTGAGACTGGCATTGTTAAATACACAATCAGGCACGCCAGATGCAAAGTATTGATAAACCTGCTGAATTCAAAGTTTTTTATCATGTTCTTGAGTAACAAATTTTCTAGCAGGATGTTCAATTTAGTCAAGATCGCTTGTGTATCAAGAGTTATCTAGGTGACGTCCAAGTCGCACCTGCAGCTGTTGTACATGAATGAACTTTACTTTTTAGTAAAGCCAAAAAATGAGAAACAGTTCCACTCCTGCTGAAAGACACACAATACCCCCGAGCAATACCTTAGTCAGTTTGCACTTAAAACAAGTTTTAGAAGGGCTTTTCACTTCATAAGTATGCATATTCTTTGCTGCCGCAGTTCAATCATGTTTTCGAGAGGGGCCTATGGCGTAATAACTTATCCGTTCGGACATGCAATCATATTCTCCCATCTGAAGTTAGCAGATTTTTAATAAATATCGTTGCTATCTTATCAATCCTTGATTAAGAAATTAAAATTTTATGCTCGCTGAATTAGGACCAATGAATTAAAGGATAAATATTCGGCTAGTCGTTATTTTTTCTTTATTTTGAGTAGTTATTTTCATTAAAATGAGCTCACTTTGAATAGAGCTCAGAATAGAGCTCACTTTGCCGAAGAGAGTTTGAACTAATAATATTTTCACATTCAAACCCGGTTTTCAAGTATCGTATGACTCAAATAAGCGCTCATTAAATTTCCACATCTCAAATGCGGCGCTTATTCGAGAAGAGCGCTTAATTGAGTAAACACGGTAGTGTAAAACACTTTCTCACAAGACAGCTTGACAGTAAGCCAAAGATCTATTTCGTAAAATGTTACTATAATTATGGCTCGATCTGTGTTCTTTGGTTGAATGCCGATTTGAGGGACTCAAGTGGTGTCTTGATCTAAGTAAAAAATGAGTTGATGTTAAAATCTTACACAGGCCTCATGTAAGGTAATCCAAGACAGTCTTGGAATATGGATTTCACGCTGTGGATGTCGGATTCAAAGCACTGGATTCCGTAGCCCGCGTACAGTCGTCTTCAATTTCCTTTGTGCAACAACAGGGAACGACGACGACGACGGCAGTGAAAGCGTCGCTAAAAAAATGAATTTGCGTTCTTTCAAACTTAATCGCGTCTATTTGGACCCGCTCAATATGTCAAATGCAGGCGACTTTTCCTGGAGTTGAATTCTTAAGAATTCTATTCGAGTTCAAAATTAAAGAGGTAGGAAAATTCGTCGTCGTATGTCCACGTTCTACATAAAACGTCAAATTACGAGGTTACACCTCGTAGTCGTGTAGTAAGCCTCGATTACTAGCCCCTGTTCGGGAAAATGGGCCCGCACTCATCCCCCCGAAAGAGCGGCCGTCTCTCTTCGGGGAGGATCAAAGACCGGACCCAGGAGACGGCGGAAATCGAGCCTATCGTGCAGTGGACATCAAAGAAATGTACTAAAAAGTGTGAGGCACGTGCAGAGCGGTTGTTTTGATCATTAAACCTACTGCTTTTTGTTGAAGTTGTCGTCGTCGTCGACGTCCTTGTAGTTGCTTCAGTTACATTTAATAACGGATCAACAGCATCTCCTTCTGAAAGAAGCCAACAAAATCTTGCTGAGAAGCATGACAAGCTCTCCACCTGATGGTATTATAAGCTCCCTAAGATTAATGGTAGACGTATGCACCGCGCAGGCTATGGATTCCAGATTCCAGATATTGGATTCCGGATTCTTTTTCAGTAGAACTTAGATTCCAGATTCCAATCGTTAGTCGTATTCTGGATCCTTGAAGCTGAATTCCGGATTCCAAAGCCAAGGATTCCAGATTCCACAAGCAAAAATTCACCGCATTCCGGAATCCGGATTGCCAGGTAAGAAAGGGCTGTGTACACTTCATACATGTACCATTAACTGATTTTACCTCTCGTCGTATTCTCCGCCACCAATGTCGCTTTCAACACTGATCGTCCATTTACACTGCATTTATACGAGAAATTCATTTCTTAGAAATCGGTCTAGGGATCTCTAGGTATTTTGATATAAATTACTACCATACTGAACGAACACAAATTTCAAGTTATAAATCTCAGTCTTCGGAAATGCCATGAGGTTTTCGTGTTTACATAATGAATGACTTAAATGTATTTTTAAATCGTGACGAACTGTACGGTAAACATTTGCGTTCTAATGCTAAATGGTCTCAGCTATAAAAAGCTACGCAGGACATTAACTATTTCCGTTTATAACCTCGTACTATGTTGTAAAATTTCATCATGGCTGTTTATACGTTCACACGCAGTTAATTCTTAAAGAATCTGATTTTTTGGCATTTTCCTGTTTAATTATCCCCGTCGTGGCTTCAATCAATGCGTCGGTTTTTCAAAGTAATAAAGGTAATATTATAGCGTTCGTTGACAGGCGTAAAAATTAACCATCTGTCACTGCAATTCTTCGCACTGTAATCCCAAGTTCTCGAACCCTCGTTTCTGGAAACTACAGATCATTCGAACCGGGCCATAACTGAACTTCCCTTTCCTTCTCAAACACTGTTATTTTAATCCGATTTTTCAAACCTCCTGATAGTTCACACTACTGTATACTGATTCAGTTTCTTTCCCTCCCGAAAGTTCGAATGATCGGGATTCCAATTTACAAGAACCCTCAACTTAATTCATTGACCACGTACTGCTGTGTAAATTCGTCATATTACGGTGTTGAGGCCCACTCGTATTTTTTCACATGGTTCACCCTCAACAAATTCATCTCTCCCTACAGGACACAACAACAAGAAAATAAAAATTCAAATTAGGACCGCATGCATTACATGGTAGTAAGCAATATCCCCGGCCATCGCCAGTGGTGTAGTTGCAGATTCTATACTAGGAGAAAGCTACATTTAGCCAGAAGAGGATAGCTTGAAAGACACAAACCTGCTCTGAAAGCGTCCGCGACCAGTTTATTTGGCTCACTGTCCCGCTCAGGATCTGTTGTTTTATCTAGTCTTGGGAGTGACTGCCCCAATATCGCGTTTATTGAAAACGATTCCATGTATCTGTGATTTGGACAACAATCGAACGAGTTTATATTCAACAAACAAACAAAACAAAACAAAACAAAAATCAAAAACGTTAGGAACGTTTGATTGAGCATTTTTGAGAATATCGGTTATTCCTTCTTTTCTTCAAATTTGATTTCCCGATTTTTCTGTAATAGTAAATAACGCCAGGCCTCGGGTGTGGACCGAACTGGGTAATATGAATACTAGCAAGTCTTCTCGGGTCCATTCAGTATACCTGTTACTATTTTGAAAATTATTAAGTAGCATATATCTGAGCATCTAGCTTTTTTAATATATAATTCCTTTACAAGTGGCAATTTTCCTTATAAATTGAAATTAACACGGGTTACCCCTGTCTTCAGGAAAGGCTCTAGATTTCACAAGGAAAATTATATACCAATTTTCGTTCTCTCCAACTTAAGCAAACTGTTTGAAAAAAGCCATGTTTTAACGTCTCTATAGTTATCTGGAAGAATTATAAATACTTTGCCCACTTCAGTTTGGTTTCAGGGACAAGGGTCGCTCACGCATCACTTATTTCTATCACGGAATCTTTTCACCAGTCCATTGATAATAGTGAATTTGAAAGTGACGTGTTTATAGATTTGAAAAAAGGTTTTGACTCTGTTAACCATGCACTGATTCTATTAACTAAGCTCCACTATTATAGAGTACATGAATGGTTTAAATCTTATTCATCCCAAAGAGAGCAGTTTGTATGTGTTGAATGGTCAAAACTCCTCCTTACCTGAGTGACCTGTGGTGTTCCACAAGGATCAGTTCTTCGACTACTTTAATTTATTTTTATTATATGTAAAAAATTTGCCTAATACTGTTAGCTTACTGACATTTTATTCTTGTTAGTTTGATGATAATTCTAACCTTTATTTTTCTAGTAAAAACCTAAGTAACCTTGAAAAAACACAAGTAAATCAGGAACTTAACTATAGTCTGTTGCTGAATGGATCATGAAGTACTACTCTATTAGGACTTGTAGTAACTCTAAAACTAATTTTATTCTTTTTCACTCCAATAAACGTAAGACTAATCAGTCTCTTTGCATTAAAATTGAGGATGTAAGCCATGATATTTCCACGATAAGTTGGAATCAAATGTTATGCTTAAGAAGTACTTAGAACAGTCAACTTATTTAATAGGTATACCTATTAAATTTAATAGGTATATGTAATATGTAATAATATTTTAATTTAATATGTATTATTTAATAGGTATACCTATTAAATAAGTTGATTGTTCTAAGTCTTCATTCAGCATAACATTTGATTCCAACTTATCGTGGAAATATCATGGCTTTCGAGGAGATGGCAAACCTCTTGTCTGGAGTACCCGGAGAAAAACCTCTCGGAGCAACCCACATATGGCGTCAAAGCCGGGACTTGAACCCGGGCCACATTGATGGGAGGTGAGTGCTCCACTGCGCCACCCTTGCTCCCTAACTGTACTGACATCAGAAATCAGAGCTGTCTGAACTATCCACGAAACTGCATCGGTTCAGGGTAGCGCTTATGCACGCTTACGTCAGACGAGCACATTTCACCACCACCAAGTCTAGTTTTTAAGTTGTAATGTAACATTTTGCGTAAATGAATTCCCAAGCCAACAGAGTTGAAAAGAATACCACGCACAAAGAGTGCAAAGGCAAAGAATTTTGTTTACAAGCGAGGCCTGGTGGTGAAATTTGTTCGTCTGGCGTAATTATGTATAAGAGCCAGTACTTTTTTGGTTGCTCTTTGGGTGATCAATGGAGTTTTGTAAAGTTCTCTCACCCTTTTGCCTTGCAAAAAATAATTTCATTTGCATACCGTCTTCCTTCTGTGACAAGCTTTGTCTAGCTTACCTCTTCCTGTGGTTTTAAGAGACCTTACTGCTGAAGCCCCGAAATTAAAATCGATCTGCCCAATCCCACTCCTTAGTGTAAAGTTGGTGTATCTAAAGCGGTCAATATAAATGAATAGTACATTGACTGGTCCTCGATTTATGAAAGCTACAGCGCGAACTTAATTTTTCAAATATGGCTTGATGCTTAAACGTACTGACCACTGTCAACTATTAGAGATTGCTTTACTCTGAACTGAGTATCCAATCAAAGGTAACAATAGCTTTCCTCGACTCCGGATTGGATAATCTGATCTTAAGAATGCAAATCATTAAGAATGTTAAAGCACAGAGCACGATAAAGATACTGTTTCATTGATGCCTATTTTTAAGAGACCTTTACAAGTTACTGTGGCGTTTTCCAGCGAAAATCAGAGAAAGCTTTTAAGCACACGCATTTCCTCACCGAACAACGCATCCGCCGGAAAGTGGTGATCAAGAAGTCTCTATAGAAAATGTTATTGGGGCATACTTCTTACTCAAAGTATACATTACTTTTGCGATAATAATTCAATGTCCTTTTTTCGGCTGAATGTGCATTTAAAATTTTGTAACCAAAGTTTAATTTTAAGTTATGTTGTGTGTGCACGTACTATACACCGCCATAACTGATTTTACCTTCTTTCACTTTTTTCGTTATACTCCGCCACGAATGTCGGTTTCAATACTGATCGTCCATTTACACTGTATTTACAAGATAAACATTTCTTGCAATCAGCCTAGTTATTTTGATATAAATTTAATACAACCATACAGTACTGAATGACCACAAGTTTCAGGTTATAAATCCCAGTCTTCGGAAGTGCCATAAGGTTTATGTGTTTATATAATAAATGACTTTAATGAAAGGTAAACATTTAAGTTCTAAAGCTAAATGGTCTCGGCTATAAAAAGCTACGCAGAACATTAACTATTTCTGTTTATAAACTCGTACTATGAACTTCGATTGAGTGCGAATGAACTTGTTTGTCAGTCACACAATTTGTTGTTACATTCCATCATGCATATGGCTGTTTATATCCGAGAGCAGAGAGCAGAGAGCTTAAAGAATCTGATTAGCTTCTTGGCATTTTCCTGTTTTATTATTCCGTCGTGGCTTCAATCAATGCGTCGATTTTTCAAAGTAATAAATTTAATGTCATAGCGTTCGTTGATAGGGGTAAAAATTAACTATTTGTCACTGCAATTCTCCACACTGTAATCCCGAGTTCTCGAACCCTAGGTTTCTCGAGACTACCGATCACTCGAACCGGGCGATAACGGAACTTCCTTTCCCTTGTCAAACACTGTTATTTTAACCTCCTGATAGTTCGCACTAGTGACTACTGTATACTGATTCAGTCAGTCTCCCTTCTTCCCGAAAGTTCTAACGATCGGGATTCCACTGTACTTTAAGACCCTCAACTTAAGTCACCACGTACTGCTATGCAAATTCCTCATATTACGGTGTTGGGGCCCACTCGTGTTTTTTGACATGGCTCAACCACACACTTCTAACGATGACTGGCACAGAGTAGGAAGTGACCATATTATTGATTAACCATATGATAACCAAACCGAGTTGTAAATAGTTGCAAGAACATGTTGCCGTAGACATAGTTAAAGATTTGTATAGGTAGTTGATGTAAAGGACCCAGACCCAGACCCAGACCCAGACCCATGTTAAGAAAAACCTGCCTGCATATGACTATAAACTACTGAGTGTCTCCCCTCCAATCTTTAGCTGGCCTAAAGTCCGGTGCCACCTGTTTTTTCCACTTTGTTCGCCGATCCTGGAACTACGTTTTAATTTGAGTGTCTGTGCTATCGCACTTTGAAGTAATCACCGCACTTTGTAATACCTGTCGCACTTTGTAATAAAACGTATCGCATCAACAACAATAACAATAATTTTAATAATAACATTTCAGTGAACAGTTTTCAGCACCAATTTCTCAAGCTGGGGCGGAGGAAAGTAGTACTAGTAGCATGGGAACCGAAAAAACCCGGTTTCATTACCTGCGATCATATGACCAGAGATTTAACTAGATTTTAATACTAATATTTCATAGAACCAAAAAACACAAACATCGAGAACAACACAGTGCCACAATCATTATCATAATCGTACAATCATTATCATCATCATCATCATCATTATCATCATCGTCATCATCGTTATCATCGTCATCATCGTTATTAAAACTGTTATTATCTGACTATTGCATATCATTGGCCCACGTCATTGTGCCACAATGACCGCTAATTTTGTGAAAATTTCGAATGCCCCAGAACCGACACGAAACAAAATAGATTCATAATGATCAGAAAATGCGCCGTATGCTAAATGTGGCCCATCTGAAATAACAAAACTAAAAAAATGCAAACACGAAAAGCAAATCTTAAGTATGATGATACTAATTATAACAAATGATTGCATTCTCGAACGTTCATGCTCAACTTCCATCCTCGATGTAAGTTGTAACAAGGCATTTTGCGCCTTTTAATATGACACTTTTTTTAGGGCTGACATTTCCCGTTATACCCTGAGTATTAACTTTACACAGTTTTTTACAAACTTGACCTCTGCGGGTAGGCCACGAAAAGGTTCAAGATCCTTCTTTAACAATGAATGGCGTTATTGTTTAAGATAATTAATGTGTTTACCAAGAGATCGTTTACCAACCTCTTCATTTTTTCAGACACCTACCGTTTGAGTATTCTTCGCTTTGATTGAAAAATTACGGAATTGGATTTGTGAATAGATTCAACATGACTTCATGATGACATCAAAATACGTCATTGTGTCAATCACGGTTTATGCCTAGGTGCTGGAAATAAATAGTAAATTACTCTGTGTTATGGTGGCCGTTTAAAAAGTGGCATTTATATAAATAGTCATCAACACAAATTATCCTCAATAGTAATAACAATAAACAATTATCATTGTTATTGTTATTAATGTTGTTGGTGATGTCGATGATGATACTTATTATTGGGTTTACTCGTACTCCTACCATCCATTTCAAGTTTATTACAAAGTGCGACTAATTCTATTACAGAGTGCGATAGGTATTACAAAGTATGACTGAACAGTGTCTGTAAGATTAAGGTTTTAATAGCCAAGTTGTTTCTCTGGTTAAAGGAGCTGTGTCACGAAATACAGCCAAATTAGGAAATTACAAAATGCCCGTTAAATTAACCGCTTAAACTTTAC